TCTGTGCAAATTCATCTATCTAAACTTTCTTTTGGTCCTTTTATTGAACTCCAAATGGTTTATTGTGCTGCTGGATTTGCACCCATTTGGCTGAGAAAGAGGGAAGAATAGGCACAGATGATTAAAGATAGCTGAGAGGTGGTAATCAGGTAGTGTCTTACATGACCCTAGCTGAACAACCTCCATTGTGTCAGTTGAATAATAAAATATTTGCTGGATTTAAAATGCCTTGAATAAAGGCTACTTAGGGATTGCTGTAGAGAATATGACATTACCTGCCACAGTTTCTGTTTTTTTCAGAATATGCTTGGATAGAATGTGTTCGTTATTGTTTGGGTTTTTGATGTTTTGGAGTTTTTGGGATGGTTACTTTTTATAAGGTCCCGGAAGTAATCATGTATAGAAGTGTCAAACTTGGAGATTTTGGGCAATCCCCCCAAACTGTTCTCTATTGTCTGAACCTAAACTAAGATGAAAAGGAGCGCATGGTGACTTGTACTGCATCAGTGCAAATAATGCCACGCCTGCTTGAAGAGAAACCCTAACTGTATGATGTGAACACACTGCAAGTTAAATGCTGATCCCTTGAGGAAAGAGGAAAAACTGCTTTATGCAATAGCCTAACATACTTCTGCTTTTATGTATCTTCTTAGCTTAAAGCTTCTTCTGAAAAGAGCCAGTGTCCTTTCATAACTAAATTGTAAATAGATGTTTCAGTTTTCATAAAGCTATTCACCTATGAGCTTTCAGTAAGCTTTCTCTTCATATGGGGATCTAGTGTTAATTAATGCTGGACCTTACTGCCTGCTGACAGCCGAAACAAACTTTCAGAGATTTGAGCTGCATTTTTTTTTTTAATTTGTAATGCCTAATTAGGGAAAAAAATCCATGGTAACACTTAGCATGACTACACTCGCATTACACTATTGCAGTTAGAGTATTGGAGTTTTGGTGATGGGAGGTGGTAGCTGGTGTCTACTCTCTTCCATTTATTTTCTCTTCCTTTAGGTGAAAAGGAGTTAATGTAATCAGATTACAGTAAATCTATGACTCCTTTCTGTTTCATGAGAGGTCCTCTTATACGGGAAAACCACTAGGAAAAAGTCAGTTGTATGGAAAGCTGTTTGCATATTTGAAAATGGACACTACAAAGCAATGTGATGAGTTCCAGCAAGTGATCAATAGGTCACTGATGTTTTCCATGGTAGTAATGCATATGTAATCACATCAGGATGTCCAGAAGAGCAACAAACTTGAGCTATTTTGGTGCCTTTAAAGATGTGCAGAGGGTTTAGAGCTGCTGTCTTGTAAGGAGTATGGCTTTGAATTGAAATTATTGAAAAACTACATCAGCATATCTTGCTGAAGGGAAGCTAGTACTGCTTTGACTGTGGTGTCCCTCCCACCCATCTGACAATTGGCTAAGATATTTCTAATATAGATGCTAATGAAAGCCTAAAAACACAGGAAAAACTAAGCTTGGAAAACAGTGACATGTTTTTTACCTCTGGTATGTTATCTAACACCTCTAAGGAAAATACCTAACAGTATCTTTAATAAGAAGAGTTTCTACTACTTATTAAATGGCTCCTATTAAGAATTAACTCCTGCATTTTTCCCAAGT